TCCCAGCCCGGGGTTACAGTCCCAGCCACTTCCAGCACAAACAGCTCTGGCTCACAGCCCCCAAAGTGATAAAAGACTTCTTGTCTGATCATCTCAGGAGGGAAGTTCGGTGCCAAACAAAGCTGCAGTCTGGTTGGGTCCTTTTGTCATCAGAGACAAAATCAAGGGAAGCTGAAAAACCTTCAAATAACGTCTTTTCCAAGAAAATGAAAAAAAAAAAAAGGGTCCAAGTCAAGAATGGCTTGTCTGTTTTTGCTGGCCAGCCTGCAATGATCTTGGTGCAGCAGGAAAGAGTCTGTTGGAGGATTCCCCTTTTTCACCAATCCCTCAGCAGTGTGAGTACTTTCCCCCAGTCTCCAGGAAGGCTCTGGGGATGGTGTTGTGCACAGTGACCTTACAGAAAGCTGTCAGTGATCCTACAGAAGCTGGTGTTTGTGGGGTGCTGGAGCCAGCTCTTCAGACTGGTGACTACCAGAGCTCTCCTGCTGGAAAATGAGCCTTTGTTTCAGGCCATCCCATTCTTCCTTGCACCATCAGAAGTGTGAATGCATGGAATGGGGGCACATCTGGCACGGATCTYCTCTGCCTGGAACTCCACAGCACACTGGAGTCTGTGCTGACACTCTTCAGCAAGAAGGAAAAACATTCCTTTCCCCGTGGAATTGGGGAAAGCACAAASAACACGTGGTTTTCACTCTACCAAAGAGCAGACTCCTCCAGCAGTGGTATTTRGTGGGGCTGACATGGGGATAAAGTGCTCCATATTTTGGAAGGAAATTTCCTTCCAGAGCAAGCAGGGTGCTGCCAGCTTGCTGCACAAGAGAGCTGTTGCTGCCATGGACACAGGAGAGGGAAAGGAGAAGGTGGAGGTGGTGAAGGCAGCAATGACCTCCAAGGAGGGGAGGAGGGATTCTGCTTTGCTGCTTTGCTCCTGATCCTTCTGTGCCASAGCACCAGAGACTTCTGACCCCACTTGCCTTTGGTGACCTTGGCTGAGGTGTCTTAAATAATAAAAAACCAAAACAACTGAGCTCACAGGGAAGGGCAATGGCTTGGGCAGAAATGGGGATTAGGAATAAGAGAAAAACAGCAAACAGCTACATGCAAAATAGGCAAACTAAGGATATAATCCTAGTGGATTTATAGGAGAGATATTGGCACATACCAGGAACATTTCAAGCCAAATGTATGACAGCATTCCTTACACCCCTCCCACCCACTGCCATATCCCAGCTTAATGCAAAGCCTTTTGGCTTCCCCAGGCTTAGAGCTCCGTTTTATTGTTCAAACAGGTCAACAATTGCAATCAGATGTTGACTCCAGGCAAGGCACAAACACGATGATGTGTTAAATGTAGAGCACYGCTCGGATGGAGTCTCTGCAGTTGTGCTGCTGTGAATGGTCCTGTGCAGGCTGRAAACTGGGCTGGTATCTCCTAACTGGGAAGCCCATCAGCATTGTGCCATGAATCCAGTGTGAGATCAGTCAATGAGCTCTAAGATCAGTCAAAGAGCTCTGCTACTGAAGTATAAACTCCATTTCTGGAAGTCATTTTGGGAGGACGGCTCTCACACCAACTCTACTTTGGCTCGTTATGAAATCATAGAATCGTTTAGGTTGGAGAAGACCTTTTAGAAGTCCCACCCAGCACTGGCCAGTCCACCACTCCACCACACTACTCTGCTTTAGAAAGATCTCCAAGAAGCACCCTTTTAACAAGAATTGAGCTGGASTGGGATACAGATGATGGCATCTTTGTAGGACAGGATGGGAGAGGATCCTACAGGTGTATCTGTGTGCAGCAAAAACAACCTTCACCATACCRGGGGAGAGCTAAAAAGGACAAAAATTCTGGCCAGTGCCTACAACAAAGACATCCAAACCACTTGGCACTGAAGTAATTCCGTTTATTTCAAACCAGGGGAGTGTGCAGCTAGGTTATGCAGATCCCTTCCCACTGGATGGGATTGTTCTGCTCCAAAATCCATTTTCACATGCTCAGCACTGTTCATTGTCAGGGCGTGCCTGCGGAGCTGCTGCTCCGGTACAGCAAGAACAACCTTCCCCAAAAGCACTCTCAGAATGTCCCCATGGCCAGGGACAAGCTTCCCCCTCACCACAGGAACACACAGAGAGATCCCAAACTCAGCCTGCTGCACTTTGCCCAGACAGGAATTTGCTGCTGTTGTGTCACACACAGAGAGATCCCAAACTGAGCCTGCTGCACTTCTCCCAGACAGGAATTTGCTGCTGTTGTGTCACACACAGAGAGATCCCAAACTGAGCCTGCTGCACTTCTCCCAGACAGGAATTTGCTGCTGTTGTGTCACACACAGAGAYATCCCAARCKGAGCCTGCTGCACTTCTCCCAGACAGGAATTTGCTGCTGTTGTGTCACTGACCACAGACCTTGCAAGGCWTTATTCAGGTGTTAACATCCCCGTGCTTTATTTTACAACCGACCAGGACAAGACCCATCATTTCTTGCTTTGTTAGCACACTGAGAACTGTGAGGTGCCAGAATTTTGCTGCCAAATGACCTTTTATACTGACCACAGCAATKAAACAGTTGGCTTGGATGTAACCAAATCCCAGTCTCAGTCCAGTATTAGACAGATGCATAATGTACCACTTACAGCTTCACTCCTTTCTCTTAATTTTCATGCTGTTGGGTTTGCTTGGTATTTTTGTTTCAAGTTCAGAAACCTTATTAAAGTTGTTATGGAAAAAATAAATTTATTATTCAACATATTCAATTTGTTCAAAATGGAATTATCCTMTTTTCTTCTTCTTTTCTTTTTTGGCTTTCATTTACAACTGGTTCCATTCAGTTTGACTGTTTTTATCTTTTTCTATTTATAACCAGCACCAAGAAGAAAATTACCATGGATACAGTACATATGCAAATTAGCTAATGGAAAAATATATACATTTCACTCTGTAATGAGAAAACTTAAATGATATTATTGCCATGGAGAATATATCCCTGTATTATAATAAAATATCAAGCAATAATCAACTGCTAAGATTCTTTTCCACCGACAAAAAATAGCACCATACATGAGATAGTGAGAATCTACACTCAATAACACAATTGTGCAACTAGAAATGTACAGTACTTTAGTAACAGTACAGAGTATTGTTTACAATATGGAAATACCACCACTGTAATCAAAAGAGCATCAATCTCTTATGAACAACTAAGAAAAGTATTGTCATAGATACACTGAAACAAACAGCTTTTCTTTTCACCAGAATGTGGTAACTGAGGGCAGAGCATAGCTGTGAATTCATTGTAAAGCTCCTATAAACTGATAAAAACCAGAAGTGCAGGAACATTGAACAGAATTAACTTTTTACTGTTCTTATTTTTCTGGCTCTTGTAAGATGGGAAGGYTGTCACCACATGAAGTAAGAGAATTGAATAAAATGGAGCTGTTGTGCCATCAGTTTYTAATTAATGTTGAGGGGTTTGATTATAAAAAAATTCAAGGCTGATGCATGCTAATCTGTGAGCAAGAGAGGTGGTTTCTTCTCAGTGCTCAGACAGTCAACAAAATTCCTTGTAAACTCCTTTTTCCTTAGGTAGGACCCAGAACTTGGACCCAAGTGTCTTTTGGGTCCAGAATCCAGCAGATTGGGTCAGGCCACAGGTCTAACCAGCCTGGCACCCTATTCTGGACAGTGGCAGTAATAAATTATTCCTGAAAAACACAAAAMCTAAAATCCTTCCTCTCTTAAGTCCAGCCTTCTGCCTAGAGGGGGTCACAGATAAACACCAGAAGGAAAACGTTCCCTGCTGTGGAGAAGCACCTTTGATTGCCAGCAATGATAATTCACATGTAATTCTGTCAAGGAAACTGAGAAAATGCTGCCCGTGAGAAGAAAAACAGCAAATTCCAAAGTGAGTGAGGGGAGCCAGGGATGGCTGTGGGGGCAGAGAGGCAGCAAGGACAGTCCCAGTGTCACTGCAGGCAAAAGGGAAAGCACCACTGGGAATCACCAATATAAACCAGCTCCTCTGGGCTCTGATCTCTTGAATTTTCTCATTAGCAGTTCTTGTACCTGGTAATTTGCCTAATTGAATATCACCTGGTATTGCCTAAATGGTTCCTGTCACCCCTGCCAGCATTTTTCCATTGATCACTTGCTAAGCTGTGACACAACTTCTGTGTTGGGCGACAATAACAGAAAAAGGAGGTCTGATCCTGATTATAAGTTGCCAAAAAAAAAAAAAATCCGATATAACAAAAACCAAGCTGGAATCATTTCCCTGATAGAGAAAATCATCTGAGGCATTGGAAAGCAGATCTGTCTGAGACAGGCACTTAAGAAAAAAGGGTGTGCAAATGTGCCCTTGTGCATCAGGCCAGCCCTGGTGCACACACACTCATTTACACTAAAAACAAGCACAGATGTAAATGTGAAGCCCACCCAGGATTAGTCTGTTCATGAACATTATCTCCCCGTGCTTGAAAAATTTAGCCCTTAATAAAATGCTAATAGGTTATTCCAGTGAGGTTCTGGATATGGAAAGAATTGTAATAAGGAAAAATTGCTTTAAAGGCACACTAGGTACGAAGAGTCTTTATCCTTCCTTGCATTGAAAAAAAAAGAGAAACAGCAACAAAGACAACTTGGGTCGGGTGTGAGCTGCAACCCAGCCTGGCCTGGGACTGGGCTTGGTTCTGAGCTCAGCTCCAAGGAGTCAGTCACAGGCACTTCTAGAGCGAGTACAAAGCTGCAATTATCCAAAGGGCTCTGTTCCTGTCACCGGGCTGGACTGAAACTCAACCACRGCCTTGGCCCTGGCATGGGAAATGATACTTGTTGGAGCAAGATGTGAYAGGGAGACACTGATGTGTGTGACAMYGGAGGGGACAAGCCCTGCCTGGGCAGAGCTCCTGTTTCAAATCTCACATTGCAGAGAGGAGTTTGGTTTAAAGTGCAGAGACACGGCAGAGAGCATTGTGTGTGCAGCACCTGGAAATGCTCTGACAGCACCACAAAAGAGAGACAGGGAGCATCCAAATACAGCAAGGAAATTCCCAACCCTTCCAGAATGCAGGAAGTCTGAGCCCATGGCTTCCAGCAGCTCCAGGTCACACTTTGAATGTCTTGTATCCCTCACTACTCCTGGCTCCAAAGGCTACATAAGCTCAGCTGTGTAAAAGAGCTCAGAGATAGGAAACACCTGTTCTGCTCCCCACTACATCCTTTCCATAAAGGTTGTTCCAAATCCAGTTTCTGTTCCAACCCTATCCAGTTTCACAGTCCTCTTATAAGAACCAACAGTCTCATTATCTGATTGACTTCTAAAAATTGGAGGGRGCTTAGGCCAAGCAATCCCTCAGTGAGATCTACTGGATGAAATGATTTCTGGCTTCTCCCATCTCATGTAAATGGTTCTTGTTTAAAAGTAACTATCTAAGGCTGTTAATAAGCTTCCATTTCATTAGGCTCAGAGAAAAATTAGGTTTCATAAAAGAAACTATATTATTCTGGGGAAAATACAGAGAGGATTGTTTTTCAAAATTAGAAGGAAAAGCACTCCCTATTAGTGGCTCTAAAAATATGACTYGGAATGTTGGATATAATTATACTGAGTTTTCTGTAGGAAATTCAGAGATGTCCATCCTCTGCTATCAGTTTTCACAAGCTTTTACAGAAAATCCTCTCTTTAAATTAAGCCTTTCATTTATGCATGTCCCTCCAAGCCCACTCTGCAGTGGGGTAACTGCTGGGAACTGAAAACAACAGATAAAAGCCAAGATTAAAAGATTAAGTAATGTCTCTACCTTTGATGAATTATTTTGCCAGAGGCCTTCCTCCACGGAGGTACCCATTATCTTATCCAATGTAATCACTTTGCAACTCTTGTCCTTTTCTTTAAGGGTAGCAAGCCATCCAGTGGCTGGTGATTTAATATATTAAAGTAAGAAGCATTAATGAAAAATGTGAGGATGTCAAAATACTCAGAAATGATTGGCTCCTTGAGATGACCCTTTCTCTGTGGTTTTTTTTTTTTTTTAWGGTGGATGAGTGGATTACTTTGGTATCCAGTCTGCAGAATTAGTTTCAAGTCTCATTAGGTATGCTTTGGGATCCACCACAATGTAGCAACTCATGAAGTTCCAGTACTCAGACCTACTAGTCCRTGATTTCCATACAAACAGCTGCAAGACTCTAAGGAGTAGCACAGGTTCATTAACTCTTCTGCTGCATCTTGTTTGCATAAAAGTCTCTGCAGGTCTGGCAGCAGCGCTGGTACCAGCGCATGTCCTGGCACAGGTTCTTCTCRCGGATCACCCGGCAGTACACTGTCCACTGGTCCCCTGTGCACTTGTACGTGAGGGCAGCTTGGGAGAGACAAGARAGGAGAAACTGCCAGATTAGCCAGGGAGCAGCACTGCACATGTGATCAAAAGCCCCGAGAGGAGGGAGGGTCACACTTG